TTTTGAATTAAACATTTGGTAATATTTCTACAGCTAACAAAACTAAGTAGTTAGGATATCAGGATATCATATGCAGATCGCATTTTTGGCCCGATCCTTATGAAATTTTGCATGGGGATAAGATGAGGGTCAGAATAGAAGCCTACTCTTTTTGGAGATGATCGCCATATATTTAGGGGTTGAAATGGACCAAAAAACTGCAAAATTGTCGTAATTAGCGCCCGAAATGAGCAAATTCTTTAAGTTGCTATTATTCGAATATTAGAGAACGAAACATGATGGTTTTGTTTTATTATTTGTCACAATATCTTGTGGAATTCTTTCGAGTATCTCGCCTATATAAACTGTATCATTTATTATAGTGTTGTAGGGTATTCAACGGTCGGCCCCGCTCGACTGTAGCCTTTGCTTACTTGTTTTTTTTTTTTTTTGTTTTTTGGCAACCTAATTTTAATACCCTTGACCTTAGGGTAAAGAAATCATTATATCCTTCACCTTGAAAAGGAGGGTACATTAACTTTGTCATTCCGTCCCTAAAATATGTGGCAAAAATCATCAAAATACCGGCTATCGGGAGGTACCGTTATATGGGGGCTATACCAAAACGCGGGCCTATAAGTACAATATTTCGTCACCGGAGCTAGAACCCATTACGGCCAACAAATTCTAATTTTTTGACAAATTAGGGGAAATGTGTGACAAAAATCATCAAAATACTGTGTGGCAAAAACATACAAAAAACTCCACAAATACCAATTTTTATACAAATTCGTAAAAACATTTGGAAAAAATCAACAAAATACCGAATATCGAGAGGTACCGTTATATGGGGACTATACCAAAACGTGGACCTGTTGTCTCGTTTTCAATTCCAACCATACTAGGCACAATACAAATTGTTCTGAATTTTGAAGCTCTACGTCGAATAATGTATCGTGATTTCTATAGTTAGACAGACAGACAGCAGACAGACAGACTGACGGACAGACAGACAGGCGGACATCGTTAAATCGATCTAGAATTTTATGCTGATTATGAATATATATACATTATGGGGTGACGATGAATATTTAGGGATATTACAAACGGAATGACAAAGTTAATATACCCTCCTTTCCAAGGTAGAGCGTGTAAAAACGGGAAAATGCTGGATTTGTCTTTAAACTCCTTTATGGATGTCGAATAAGAACAATTTTGCACCACATTTCACTGTTAATACGTTCCCATTTTTTACTGACGAGTTGTGAAAACCTTCTTTAAAAAAACACTTTTTATATGAAAATTCGTTAGCGTGATGTTTTTTTCCACATTAAGTACAACATATGCAATACATTTTCTATTTAGTATCAATATACAATGTCATTTTGAAATTTGGGCAAAGCATTTGTAAGTCCGAACTAAAGTTCTAAATCTGGCCAGAAGTTCTGGACTGTATTTTAGTACGAATCATCCGATCCAACATATTACCGTAACACTGGAAACGTAGCCCGGCTTCAAGGAACTGGACGGAAGAAAACAGCAACATCAGCAGAAATAGTTCGAAATGTAAAGAAGCGACTTGATCGAAATCCGAATCGCAGTGGCAGAAAATAGGCTCGTGAGCTGAACCTATAGCAATATTCCATTCGGTAAATATTGAGAATGAGCTCGGGGTAAAGCCATTGAAATTCCATCGCAACAGTAAGAAATTAGACCCAAAAGATTTGCTTCGCATGGACGAATGTGGTGAACTGCCAAATTTGGTTTTCTCCGATGAGAAAATATTCGTAGTCCAGCAGTTTGTAAACAAACAAAATGATCATGTTTACTTGCCAAAGAGGTCAGCTGAAAATGTTCACCACCGCAAATAGCCACCAGAACTCAAGCGCCGCCATGTTGATGGTGTGGGCCGCCATAACAGCCGACGTTCACTCTCAGCTCGTATTAATCGACCGTGGCATCAGAATAAATGCCGAATATTATCGCGAAAATATTCTGGAGGGTGTATTAAAGTCTTGGACACGCAAACATTTTGCCCGCAGACCTTGGACATTCCAACAGGGCACTCAGCACGCGCCCCACAAGAATGTTTACCAAATGAGGTTCCTCGCTTCATTTCCAGCACACAATGGCCACCAAAATCTCCGGATACCAATCCGTTGGACTATTGTGTCTGGAGTATTTTGGAAAGCAAGCTTGGCACTAAAAAACACCAAAGTGTCGATCACCACAAGCAACCGCATCGCTGGGATTGGGCCAAATTACCGAAGAGAAACGATCGGGCAGCGTGTGACTGTTTCATTGTGAACTGTAAAAAAAAGTGAATATTATAGCCTTTGACTTGTTGCAGTTTTTCTATCTCACCCTGTATATATTAAAACTATCTCACTTTAGAAGTATATATAAGTATAAGAACTTTCAAAAACATGTATGACTGTGAAGTATTATAATATAGCCCTATGAGCATCTCTTGGGTGAGTATCTTAAGCAGAAGCGAAGCAATTTTTTGATAATTTCAATCAATTGAAAATTCCATTCTACGGCTGACTTCAAGCAATTTACATAAATTCGTTTATAATTAAATCTTACTTGCTTGGAAACAGAAAAATAATTAATATAAATTCGATTTGAGTTAAAATACGTCGAAGCCGTGGAAAACTTTAGACACATTATTGGAAGTTAATGCCTTCTTTTCTTTGGCTGGAACTTGAAATTCCCGTTCTTAATAAGGTATTAACGAAAGAAGTATCTAATTTCGACCAAATTTGGTATAATATTTCTGTCTGTGTTTGGAGATTCGGTAAAATAGGACCAATCCATCAGGTACCAAAAAATTTAGAATTACCAAAGAAAACAATTAACCGTAGAAAGAAAAAGGACACCCTCTGGTAACTTCCGACAAAAATTGAAAATTTTGATTAAAAATTACTCACATTAAATTCAAATAAATGTCAAATTATTTACAGCTTTCCACATCCCAATATTTTTATAAATATCAGATCAAGTGTGATAATAGAATATATCATTGGACCTCTTTCTGATAGTAACAAATACAATCCACAACAAATTTTCTAGACAATTGTTGCATTTTTATTTTTTGGCAACACCAATATTGACCAGTCTTTAAATTTATTTTTGGTACTGCTTGGAAACACAAATTTTGGTTGATTTCCTCGATGCACTGGGCTCTTGTGTGCAATTATTCAAGAAGAATATCAATATCACATAGTAATACAAAACGTGTGTTCAATTTTTTACTTACATTTGGAGATACTTCTTGGGGAAATCGTTCGACGTTATCTTTTTTTTTTCATTCTTAAGATCTGGTATAGAATCTTTTGTTGTTTAACTTACTTCGTCCTTGATTATTTTTTCTCAATATGTTTGGATTTACATTTTAAACTGTTGAATTTCTGAGTAATCATGTGGTATTCAGCGCTGAATTCTGATGGTACTTTCGTTCGTTTCGTTTTGACCCTCTCCGATTTCTCTATATTTTTATTTGTCACGACAAAAAAGAGTGTGCCTTTTCGGCATTTTGAAATTAGAATATTAAATGATTTGTTCCAGAACTACATGAATGTATAAAATGTTACTACGATAACCGATTTGTATACCCTACAACACTACATAGGTGTTGGGGGTATTATAAGTTTGACTGATCCAAGAATTATGTAACACCTCGAAATATTGGTTTTTCACATAGGAAAGTATGTATGGATCTTTCTATCTCGCCGAGCTAAGTCGATCAACATATATGTTCGTTCGTCCGTCTGTCTATGTTAATTTGTAATTACGCTACAGGTCGCAACATCACGAATTGAAAATGGAGGTGGGGTTATGGTCAGAATAGAAGCCTATTGCTTTTGGAGATGATCGCACAATATTTAGAGGTTGAAATGGACCGACAATTAAAAATTTTCCTGATTTTGCAGCCTTTATAAAGGTCACAAATAGAAACCAAAGGACATGAAATCTCGCATGAAGTTAGAGTTTAGCACAGCGGATAAAATGCACCCTTTTGTCGCCAGCAAACCTGCAATTGATTCACGACTTCCAGAGCTGATCTAGTCACACTTAATCATGTGATTAATAATACGGGTTGCTTAAATAAATGCCGATAAAGACCAAAGACTTTTGCAGGACTAAATATGAATTATGTGTCTAAGATAATATGGCATAGTTTTTTGGGTACCGATTTTAATGATGTTTAATGTAATGTACCATATCATTGAATATTAAATTTGTGTGCTAAATGTATGTCTTCTAGGAGATTGACATGTGTAGTTATAAATCGATAGTGGCCTTGGACCAATCAAAATTATTTCCAAAAAAATCATTATGTCGTATAAAAACCACACCTTTCCTTGTTGTTATTTTTGCAATGGCATAACAGAAGAGCCTATATACATATATGCATAACACCATAATGTAGCTATTATATATAATTTTCCTTGCATACAAACTTGCCGAGATAACAAAATGTTAGAATTTACATTTGTATCTATGAAATGAGATAAATACTTTAACTTTCCTACTTTTGTGTAGAATTAGTACACTTATGCTGTCAAAGGGATTTACAACAGAAACTGTTATACCCTCATAAAATAGATGTTATAAACATTTGTCTCGTAATTTTTGCTGTAAAGGACTTTTCTCTTTATGTTAAGTTGCTTCTCTTAAACCAACTTAACTTTGCAGTTCTCTGCTTCGCTTTGTAACTGACCTTTAACCTATTGCTCTCTGACTTTCACTTTCTCTGGTTTACCTAGATGAATTTTAGCTCTCGAGAGTACAGCATTAAATTCCTCAACACTACATTGTACGAAGTGATGTAAATTGTGTTAGGCCAAGAGATTTTTCTCTCGCCACATATTCTCCATGCTCTATGTGCAAGGGGTGGTGAGTGCGAGTAAACTTGGGAGAACCAGAGAGTTTTAGTTGGCATCGATGTTTGCCGACAACAGTATTATACAGGGAAATCCTTTTTAACGAGGATGGCTTATTGTTTTGGATGTAAGGAAACACGCAAATTACACCGCACGAGCACAGACAACAGACAGGACAACCAACCCACAATGCCATAGCATCATCGTCGACATCTGTAGGAGCGGCAAGAGCGCTAACAGAAACATCAGCAGCACCAGGACCAGCATCAGTGCCATTGCCAGTACCAGTACCAGCCAGCAACCAGCATCAGTAGTAACGTAGCAAAAAAGACACGAGAACTATCCCAAGAATTCCAGCACATCACTGTGTCGCATGTCGAGACTGAGTCAAATGCCGTCAGTCCTTAAATTACTTCAGTACGAATTGAAGCTGTCAACGGGATCGTGTGTGCACGTGCTCCTACTTCTGCTCGTAACGTGCTGCTGATACGCCAATAAGAACTGAAAATACGTAAATTTGTTCGTTCGCTCGCTGGCTCGCTCGCCACATTGACACTTCGTACATTCGTTGTTTGATTTCTTTGGGAGCGCCTTTCCGATGGTGTGTGAGTGTGTATACGTGAATGTTTGAACTTGCATGAGAGTGTGTGTATGTGTGTGGTGTCGACTGTTGTTCCTTTTACTGGTTCCGGTGCGTTTATGACGTCCAATATGACACGGCTGATGATGTTGATGAAGACGATGATGACACGGTAACGGCGTCCACGATGTATGAGTTTCGTATTTGTGATTTACGTTATGTTTACACTTAGGTCAAATCTGTAAGCCTTTCCTTCAATGCGACAGAATCGAACAAAACAAGAAAAAATAGAAATAAACACACTCAGCAAAGAACAACAACAGACAAACAAATAATAAAAAAAAAATGTTAACACAAAAGAACTGAAAAAAAGGAATAAACAAAACAAGAAAGTAAATAAAACAAAGTAAGTGAATGTGATGCATGTTTATGACAGCACTCCATCGACTGCTGCAAATCGAAAGGAAGTAACTACAATATTTATCCTGTATTATTTATTCGAATTGTTCCATTTCCAATGAATGTCGGTATTATATTGAATGGATGGGGTTTGCTGAAGTATGAATGTGTTTCGTTAAAATTCCAATGAAAATGAGTAAGTCGATGCAAATGTGGTTTTCTTATGGTAAAAGACAACACTCAGCTGTGATAGTTGTTATAATAGAAATATGAATTTAATTTGATTTAACAAATTTAATATTGGTATTTTATTTTGCAAATCAGCTTGAAGCCAAATTAACGTCAATATGAAATATAGCAACATTACGGGAAAATATTCAGGTTCTATTAACATTAAAAACTTCACATCCTCTACCATTCCAGTATTGTCATATAAATAATTTTAGACCCAAAATTTGAATTGAAAATGTAATTAATCTATATGTTGTATTGACATAATAATACGAATGGCACCATGAACTGCGAGTTTGGTGAGAGGAAAATTTCTTTTGGATATAAAAGGCTTTGGTGAGGTTAAGAACCATGAATAATAGATTCGCGGTTAGTTCTACTTCTAAGATCGAGCGTGTCGAATTTTTGAATTCGTAGGTGCATTACAAAGCCTTATATATGTTTGGCATTATTATGATGAAATATCTCTAGTCAAATGTAATGAGAATTTTCTTAATGAAATACTTAATTGATCTAACTCGATTACTTCTACTTTCTATTCGATCTTTAAATTCTTGAGCTGTTAAATAAGAAACAAGAACAATATATTTTAACATCAAACCGTTCTTCTTGTTGTTTTGAGAGTTTTTTACCCACAGTCATATGGCTACAGAGGGTAAAAATCATTTGATAGGGCCAAACCTTGCCAAATCGAAATTACGGTTTCAGGCCATTTGGAGTCGACCTAGGGGTGTCCGTCCTTCCGTCCGTTTCTCTGTCTGTCTGGCTGATTAGTGCTCATGATAATTCTCGCAGGGAGTATCCGACATGGTCCAAACTTGGTACTTAATAATATTATTGTCAGACTTATATCTAATTTGGAGATGGGAAACATCGATCCACTCCTTCCGATACCTCCCCCCAAAACAGCTAACATTTTCAAATAATTTACTCAAAGGGCAAGAAAGGATCAAGCAATTTCCTGCAAACTTCGCAAGTACCAAAATACTTTTCAGTGTTATTTCAGGTGCAAAACTGGACAATATCCACTCACTCCATAAAGTACTTCCCCCACAAAGGGTAAAATGTTGGAATAATTATAACCTTTAAAATAATATATAAAGTTTCTTAAAATTTCACTCTTCCCAATAATTCTACTGAAACAGGATCTGTTGTGAATACGAAATATATAGAATCACTCCCTCTAGGATCAATTTCACAAGGGGTCAAAATTCTGAATAATTATATGGCTCATAAAATGCGAAGTACGCTTCCGATTCTCTTTCAAATTTTACACAACCCAATATTTTTATTAACATAAGATCTGGTGTGAAGATCTTACATATCGGCCTACTCCTTCTGATAATAAAACATCCGATTCATATCTTGTACCTCACGCATATTTGAACATTTTCCAAAAATTTTAATAAATCTCATATAAAGTACAGGAAGCAGCCGAAGTAGACCTAGGTCAGATACGAAATAGATAATATTGGCCTACCCTTTCGGAACATCCCCCATTTTTTTTAAATTTTATTGAATGAAAGCAAAAAATGTCGGAAATAGCATCTAATTTTAGAATAAGTTTAGATTTGTTCGAATTGATCACCTTTGGCACGAATTATGGCCTTCAAACGTCCAATGAAACCGTCACACGCTGCCCGAATGGTGCTCTGCGGCATTTTGGCCCAATACCGGCGAAGCGCTTGCTTGAGGTGATCGACACTTTTGTATTTCTTAGTTCAAATCTTGCTTTCCGAAATACTCCCAATAAAATAGTCCAATGGATTTTGGTGGCCATTTTGCGCTGGAAATGAAGCAAAAAACCTCATTTTGTAATGCTAAGTCCTATTGGAATGTCCAAGTTCTGCGGGCAAAGTTTTTGCGTGCCCAAGGCTTTATACACCCTCCAGAATATTTTCACGCTAATATTCGGCATTTATTCTGATGTCACTGTCGATTAATAAGAGCGGAGAACAACCATCGGCTGTTATGGTGGCCCAAACCATCACCATGGCCGGCGCTTGAGTTCTGGTGCCCAACTGAAAGTGCATATTTTCAGCTGACCTCTTTGACAAGTAAACACGATCATTTCGTTTGTGTACACGATCATTTTGCTTGTGTACTGCTGGACAACGAATGTTTTCTCATCGGAGAAAATCAAATTCGGCACTTCACCACTTTCGGCCTTTAGCTCATTTGAGTCTGTTTTCTTCTGCTGCAGTGTAAGTTCTTGCACTTTTTGGAATTTCAATGGCTTTACCCCGAGCTCAATTTTCAATATTTGCCGAATGGAATATTGCGATATGTTCAACTCACGAGCCATTTTTCGGCCACTGCAACGCGGGTTTCGATCGATCATTTCTGCTGAAGTTGCTCTTTTCTTCCTTCCACTTCTTAGGCATTTAAATGCTGGAATGCTCTAACCATAGCCACTTGTGTTTTTCCAGCCAAATATAAAGAAATAACACTATCTCGCTTGAATTCCATCACGAATAACTTCTTTTCTGGAAAATTTAAACCAAAATGTTTTTGTATGCTTTTAAACAATATAATAAGCTGTCACTGGAATAATTTTAACAGCTGTTGGACGAGTGGGTTAGCAATGACAGCAGTATGAAGTTGGTTGGAGTTTCTTCATCTCACCCCATATGTAAACAAACAGATATTGGCTGAGAGTATACATCTGTTGACAAAACCGATTGATACGTTTTAACTTGTTAAAGTTTTTTTTTAGTAATTGCTGTTCATGGATTTACGTAATTTATTGCAACAGGGTTTGAACTATGGTACAGTTATTACAATAGATTGATTGATTTCAATGTTGATTTTTTTAAACTTTGACATTTCTACCCTTTACATAAAACGGTAATATTCATATTGGTACATATATTTGGCATCTGTGGTGAAAACATCTACTGGGTACATGAAATTTTAGATAACGCTGTGAATTCTAAAATTTACTTTATCGAAAAATCTAAAAGGCTTATCATCGATATTTATTATGTTAATGATTAAGTTTTGTGAAACACAGGACCAAGTACGAAGAGTTATCATAATCCGAAGTTGGTATTAAATTGGCTAGACACAGTATTTCGTGTCTCTATTGTCTGATATGTCTATTGAATACATAGAAGGATTTTTCTGACGTCAATTATATCATTTTAAGATCTTGTTCTTTAATAAAAGAGCCAGCCGATGACTTGTGCCAGAAAGAAAATTCTCCAATGTATCTCCACATTAATAATGATTTAAGAGAGCTGGGCTTTCTCTCCATATAGTCTCGTATTTTTAGCTGAGTCCACGAGACCTTACATGAAAATTGCTATAGTTAAAGTTAAAGTCTTACTCAACAATTTAGAAATTTTGGCTATCTTCACATAATGTACATGAAACTATATTTTTTGACACTACACCTTCCTGCATAGAATCACATTCTGAGTCGATTTATGCATGTCCGTCCGTCCGTCTTTCCATGTATTTTTGTGAACAAAGTACAGTTCGCATTTATTACCCGATCCAGATGAAATTTTGCACAAATCATTTGTTTGACCCAAGGACGAACCCTATTGAAATTTGAGATAATCGCTAAAAATTTAGATATAGCTCCCATATATATCTTCGTCCGATTTGCCTTCTATTGTGCACCAAACGTGTAATATCAGCCCGAATTGTATGGAATTTTGCACATACAACCAAATTAGGCCTGAAAATAAGTATGCCAAATTTGATCGAAATCGGTTCAGTTATAGCTATAGCTCCCATATATATTGTACATCCGATTTGTTATTTTTGTCCTCCGCAGCCGTAATATGCACTCTGTAACAACAATATTTGGGGAAATATATCAAATACAGCTCAGAAATAATTTTGCTAAATTTTATGGAGATCGGTTCGGATTTGGATATATCTCCCATATATAACTTCGTCCGATTTACCTTTCATTGTGCACCAAGCGTCTAATATTTGCCAAAATAGGATGAAATTTGGCACTTACGACCGAATTGAGTCTAGGAGTTAGTATGTCAAATTTGGTGAAGATCGGTTCAGATATAATTTACAGATACAATGGTTCGGCATATTTAGTCTTTTGAACTTTAAATTATAAATATAATCATAGCATGCATGATTGAATTCTCCCATAAAAACTTTTAATTGTTATGTGGAGCTCTACTTAATTAGCAAAGTGGTGTAGGGTATCATAAAGTCGGCCACGCCCGACTTTAAGACTTTCTTTACTAGTTATATAATATGGAGATACGGAAAAATGTAGTTCCAAAATCTACTAAGGATTTTGATCATATATTTTTTCTGCTTTATGTCACAAGTTTTGAGAATATTCTTCGTTCACAAATGTCTGAGTATACCATCGTCAGTCACTTTTCTCTGATAAGTAGTCTGGGTTTCGACCCAAACACAGCTTCATCACAACGTTGCCATTGGATTCTTTAACTCTATCGATCGCATGGATCTAGGCATAAAACAATTATATTTCTTTAATTCGTCTGCATAAAATTAAGCTTAATAATGCATTTTTTTTTCACCAAAAGACTACAATATGTATTAACGGGGATAAAGGTAACAAGACATAACACAACTGCTGCTTTTACAGTAAGCAAATGTATGAAGATGATGTACATTATTTCAAATCGGGAAAAAAAAATAATGCTAATTTCTTTATTAACAAATTCACTGAAAATTTCTCGCGCATCTTCAACTTGACTGCTGCAAACGATGTTTGATCATACTTTTAAACTTTAAAATTCAGCAATTTATATAAAAAATCAGAAGTTAAAA